GGCTCATTTCACTAGTATATTTTCTATAAGGTTCATCTATGTTGTAGCATGTGTAAAACTTTTCTTCTGTTTTACCACTGAATAATTTTCCATTGTATGTATATACTACATTGTGCTTATCTATTCACCAAACACTTGGGATGTTTTTACCTTTTAGCTACTGTGAATAATGCTGCCATGAACATGAGTGTACAAATATCTCTTCAAATTCCTCCTTTCAATTCCTTTCAGCATATACATGAAGTTGAATTGCTGTGTCATGTGGTAATTCATTTTTAATTTTTTGAGGAACTGCTGTATTGTTTTTCACAGCAGCTATACTGTTTTACATTCCCCCCAATGGAGTACAAGAGTTCCGATTTCTCCACATCCTTGCCAACATTTTTTATTTTATCTTCTTTTGATGGCAGCCATTCTAATGAGTGAAAGATGGTTTTAATTGGCATTTCTCTGATGATTAGTGATGTTGAGCAATTTTCTTTTTTTTTTTGAGATGGAGTTTCACCCTTGTTACCCAGGCTGGAGTGCAACGGCACCATCTTGGCTCACCGCAACCTCCAACTCCTGGGTTCAAGCAATTCTCCTACCTCAGCTTCCCGAGTAGCTGGGACTACAGGCATGCGCCACCATGCCCAGCCAATTTTGTATTTTTAGTAGAGACGGGGTTTCACCATGTTGACCAGGATGGTCTCGATCTCTTGACCTTGTGATCCACCCTCCTCAGCCTCCCAAAGCGCTGGGATTACAGGCGTGAGCCACTGCGCCCGGCCATTGAGCATTTCTTATGTGCTTATTGGCCACTTATATTTCTTCTTTGGAGAAATCTCTATTTAAGTCCTTTTCCCATTTTTAATGGGATTTGTTTGCTTTTTTGTTATTGAGTTTTAGCTATATTTTCTGGATATTAAGCTCTTATGGAACAAGAGCCCACAATTCCACAATATTCACAAATATTTTCTCCCATTCCATAGTTTTTCACTCTGTTGATTGTGTCCTTTGAGCCAGTCTGGTACTCTTGACATCACACTGTCTCTGTTTAGTCTCAGAGGTGGTAAAAGGCATAGATGGAGTGACAGCAATAGGACTCCAGTCCTGTTATCAGCCTGGTGCACAAGGTCAAAGAGCAGCAGGGAGGGACAGATGGCGAGCCCCGCGGGATGGGAATGCTGTGGGCTGGAGGGACATGCTTGTATCCTGTCTAACATCAAGATTATCATAGGGACTAAGGTAGGTCTAGGTCAATAGATGGGAGCCGGGTGATCCCAGCAATGGTAAAAGAGGGGATGCCAGGCCAGGCATGAAGGCTCATGCCTGAAATCACAGCACCCTGGGATCCTGAGGCAGGAGGATTGCTTGAGACCACAGGTTTGAAATCAGCCTAGAAAACACAGTGGGATCCTGTCTCTACAAAAAAATTAAAAATTAGCAAGGCATAGTGATGCTCACCTGTTGTCCCAGCTGCTTGGGAGCCTGAGATGGGAGGACCGCTTGAGCCCAGGAGTTCAAAGTAGCAGTGAGTTATACTTGAACCACAGCACTGCACGGCCCTGTAGCCAGGGCAGCAAAGTGAAACTCTGTCTCAAAAATAAATAAATAAATAAATAAAAAGAGAACAAGTAGGAAAGAAAAGAAACTCAAGGAAACAACTAGGAATCATCCAACCAAATGCAGCGCCTGGAAGAACCTGGTGTCCAGATGCAGTTTATTATCAATTAGTGTAATTCTAGCTTTTTACTCAAAGGACACTTGGGATCGCAGGGAAAGACCTCACCAACTTGATTGAGGTTAGGGCTTCTTATTTGTACACAAGGATGAAGCCAGGAATTGTATGTGTCAATGCCAGATTATCAGTGGAAGATTGGTATCTTTCAGATAAAAGCTAAAGCTATCTGAATCAAATTAGGAATAAAACCCAGGTGACCAATGAGCCAGGACTGGTGGATCAAAGCTGGTTTAATTTAAAGGAGACTTTAAGGTGAATTGGTTTGGTATCTGAAGTAATAACTACCATTCTTTTCCAATTTGTATTTAAAGGATCTGTTGCCAGTGGGACCAGAAAGCCATATGTGGTATTACTTATAGACCCTCTCTAGTATATGGATTAACATAGAATCATCTTTCTTTATGAGTTTTCCACCAGTAAACGTTGGTAGATATAAACAAAACTTTCCTTCAGAGCGAATTATTTCAGGTCCCACTACCACCAACAGCTGACATCAGTGGTCTGCATACTCAGCTGTCACACTCTTTTTTCTTGTTTTTGAGATGGAGTCTTACTCTTGTAAGACTTACTCCAGGCTGGAGCACAGTGGCACGATCCTGGCTCACTGCAACCTTTGCCTCCCAGATTCAATTGATTCTTTTGCTTGAGTAGCTGGGATTACAGGCATGCACTACCACACCTAGCTGGTTTTTTTTTTTTTTTTTCTATTTTAGTAGATTTGGGGTTTTATCATGGTGGACAGGCTGGTCTTGAACTCCTGACCTCAGGTGATTTGCCCACCTCGGCCTTCCAAAGTGCTAGGATTACAGGCATAAGCCACTGCTCCCGGCCAGCTGTCACACTCTTTATAGGTCTGTGCTTATTACTGAGCTCCTCTAAGGACACTATTAAAAGCATATTATTTAGAAAGTACTATTGAGAAAATACTGTAAGTGTTCATACCTAGAGACTTACGATTAAAGCGAAAACAAAGGAAGTGACTTGTAAAAATTCAAAGCGGTAAGGAAATGACAGATACCACATATGCAACTGAGATGAGTCATTGGACAGTAGGCAAGATTCTCAAGGATAAACAGTGAAACATCAGTGAACAAAAAAGTCTATGCAATTGACAATAGCAGGCAAGACGAAGAAAACAGATGTATGTGGTTGAAAGATCAACCTGATGATCTATCAGATGAGGTAGAATTTTCAGGCTTTAGTTTATTAGACTAAGTGTCTAAAGCCAAGAGTTAGAGAACTCGAAGACAGAACAAGGTGATGCTACTGCCAAGGAAACTTCTGTCTCAGGCTGTGTATGGTTGAATGGGTTCATAGTCATTTGAAACGGCACAAAATCAAAGTAGGAAGAGACAAATATATGTGGGATTGATCTCATCTCAGAAAGTAGTTTCAGAGATCCTCAGAGGATCTGGTGGGGATTAACTGCCTCAGAAGCTTTAGATGCCTACAGAACAAACATCAGGAAAATGCATGTCTGGTTTTAACCCTTCAAAGTCATGACTCATGCCCATTTTGGTAGGAATGTAACTAGAGGCTGCAGACTAAAAACAAGGTATCTTATTTTGGATGTATGAAAGGCTTTTCAAAGAGCCTTTTAGAACTCGAACATAACTGCATAGATAGACTTCTGGACATCTACTGAATTTGTTTTCTCTTTTGCTCTGTATCAGCTGCAAATTCAACATAGTTGCTTTCTCTGTTGTCATAGATATCATTAGTAAAATGTTTTAGACATGACCAAGGGCAATGCCTGCAGATGTGCAGCTAGAAAAGCACTTCTCAGGATGTGCTCCGTGAGTTCTGTAGAAAAAAAAAGATTCTACCACCTAGTGAGTTTGGAAAACGCTAAAATAATCAGTTAATAAAAGTTGAATGTGTTTAATTTTGAGGAAGGTACATGAAAGTGATTATCATTAGAATATATCTACTTAGCTGGGCACAGTGACTCACGCCTGTAATCCCAGCACTTTGGGAGGCCAAGGAGGTTGGATCATGAGGCCAGAGTTTGAGATCAGCATGGCCAACATGGTGACACCCTGTTTCTCTAAAAAAAAAAAAAAAAAAAAAAAAAATTAGCAGGCATGGTGGTGTGCGTCTATAGTCCAGCCACTCGGAAGACTGAGGCAGGAGAATGGCTTGAACCCAGCAGGTGGTGGTTGCAGTGAGCCAAGATCACACCACTGCACTCCAGCCTGGGCAACAGAGCGAGACTCCATCTCAAAAAAAAAAAAGAATACACCTACCTGACTTCCAAATACAGGGAACGTCATTGACAGTGGGCACCAAGCACCGCCCTCTAAATCTATCACCCCATTCACGGTGGGCCAGGTTTCCCAGAGGCTGTTCTCAGGCAATGAATGAAAGCAATAGTGTAGTAAGTTTACGAAAGCAATAGTGTAATAAGTTTGGCCCATTTCTGGAAGACACAAGACTCTTGGGCAGCCAACTTTGGCTCAACAGAGCTGAACATTTAGACTCCACAACAGTTGAAAACACTTCAACTCTATTTTTCTTGTCTCTCTCCTCTTCTCAGAGTCAGACTTCATTATGGTCTGACAGCTCTCCCAGCCTCTCCCAACTCCTTATCCAATTTATTTCTTAGGCATTTCCCCTAATAAAATTCTTCCCTATTCATTTCTATCACAGTGTCTCCTTCTCAGACAACTCAGACAATGATAATAACTCATAAACCTCTGTGCACACAAAAAAAATAGCAGCTGAAAATATGAGACAAAACTTATTAGGAATAAAAGAACTGTATACAAGTGCAGTATTACTGGGAGATTTTAATATAACCCTTTCATAGTCAGTCATAAGTAACAGACAAAAATTAAAAACATAAAGAATTTATGAATCGATAATATCTCAAATAGATAATAAAAATTATTTTCTAGGTTGATAGAACAAAGAAAAAAGAGTTTCTTTCTATATTCATTCAATAGACTATAGAGTCAGACTAAATAATAAAAAGTGATAAAGTTAATACTTAGAAATTATGAAATATATCCTTAGACAAAATTTGGAACAAAGAGGCAATCAAAACTGAGGCCTAGCATAGCATAATGTAGAAACTTAAATGCTTTTATTAAAAAAGAAAGATTCAAATTAATGAAAATTAGGCTTGGCATGGAGGCTTGCGCCTGTGTTCCCAGCACCTTGGGAGGCCAAGGCAGGTTGCTTACCTCAGGTCAGGAGTTTGTGACAGCCTGGCCAACATGGCAAAACCCTGTCTCCACTAAAAATACAAAAAGTAGCTGGGCATGGTGGTGCATACCTGTAATCCTGGCTACTTGGGAGACTGAGGCAGGAGAATCGCTTGAACCTAAGAGGTGGAGGTTGCACTGAGCTGAGATCACGCCACTGCACTCCAGGCTGGGGGACAGAGACTCTGCCTTAAAAAAAATAATGATGAAAATTAAGTCTGTATCATAGAAACTTAGAGAAATAACAAACAAACCAAAAGAAAATAGGAAGAGGTAATTAGTAAAGACAGAAGTGAGAATAATAATTTTAAAATCATAACCCAAAATAGAAAAATAAACTCAAGAGCTAGTTCTGTAAAAATGCCAATACAAACCTTTATGAGTTTTGGTATTAAAAAAAACTTAAAGATTGAAAGAAAAGAGTACAAGCTATGCATGATTAGTAATAGGAAAGGAGACAGAGCCATGCAGAAGAAATGTTTTAAACTACAATATATAATATACAATGTATAATATCTAATATACAGTATCAAATATACAATATGTAATATAATATATACTATATTAAGGAGTTACATAATCTCTAACAAGTTTAAAATTCTAGAGGAAACACTTGACTTCTAACAGAATACAAGTTGCAATAATGGACCCAAGATAAGGTGGAAAAGGTACAGAGATGAACGACGGTTTCAGAAGATTTCAGGTGTTTAAAAGATTCCACGTTCAGGTAATTTCAAAACTGAGTTTTATGGCACCTTTAAAGTCCAGATGATTTCATTATTCTTTAAACTATCAACTCCAAGCTACCTAAAAAGATGGAAATCCCCCCACCTCATAATCAAACTTATTGTGTAATATCAATTCTGATTACATTATTTTTAAAAACATCAACCAATATTTTAGAAACCTCAGCCAATCTTATATATGACTGCAGATACAAAAAGTATCAACAAAAATATAGCAAATATATTTCAATATTGTTTCCAAAGATTAATACACTATTGTCAGTTTGGAATTCATGCATTGCAAGGGTGATGTAATTCTACAAAATCTAAAGGACCCCATGTCAACTTGGGAGTATCTTTTTAATCAAAGCAGGACGTCCAGGAACTGTTAAAGAAAAATACATGTATTTACATGACATTTTAAAACTTTATTTAGGAATATATAAAGTATAAGTAAAAGAAAAAGACACACAACTCAACAGAAAAGTGACCAAAGGGTATGAAGCAGCAAACACACAGAAAAGCCACTCCAGATGTTTGTTGTGTATTTAAAAGGATATTTAAATTCTCTACTAGCAAAAAACAAAATAGAGAATAATGCACAGACTGGCAGGCATTATACTAAATTGGAAATTGCAGCGCTTGGGGGGTGTGATTTTGGATTATTTCCCATCCTATTTTTGAAATTACTGTATTTTCCTTTCAAAATATTTAACAAAGTAAATAAAAATAATAATCAGAGATCAGAGACTGTCTCATACATGTCTTGAAATCCACACATACCCTATAATGGCTTCGAAATATCATATGAACCAGCAAAACACTAATGAGGTGAAGGTGTAAATTCTTGCATTCTCTGTTTTTCCCAGTTTATGTTTAAATTGAAAATGGTAATTTTCTAATTTCTTGCCTATGTCATTAGGAGATCATAAGATGACATACTGATTGGCAAAAGAAGATTGTTTTAAAATGCTTAAAACAAATGTATGCATTTGCTGAGATGCTTTTTTTTTTTTTAGATGGAGTCTTACTCTGTTACCTACATTAGAGTGCAGTGGCGTGATCTTGGCTCACTGCAACCTTCACCTCCCAGGTTGTTCAAGCAATTCTCCTGCCTCAGCCTCCTGAGTAGCTGGGATTACAGGCATGCACCACCATACGCGGCTAAGTTTTGTATTTTTAGTAGACACGGGTTTTCGCCATATTGGTCAGGCTGGTCTCAAACTCCTGACCTCATGATCTGCCTGCCTTGGCCTTCCAAAGTGCTGGGATTACAGGTTTGCTGAAATCCTTTTAAGAAATCAAAAAGAACTTGGATGAGTTTTGAAGAAATCAGCCATTCTCTAAATCTATCTTTCCCTTTCTTCCACGCAGCCGGTCCCGTTCCCAGCTGACTGACTGACAGTGGAGCAGAGGAATAAGGCCTTGTGTGTTAGTAACAGGTATCTAAGACAGCTGAGGGAAATACAATGAAGACAGACCCTGTATCAGGCAGAATGGGAAAAGTAATCAATCACCACGTGGGCCTCGGAATGGAAAGGTAGCCCAGATAATCAAGCACAGCCTGGGGCCTGCAAGATTCCCTTAAGGTCACCCACCCTTTGGAGCAGATGTCAACATACCTCATAACAAACATGCTCTGAGGAGCGGTTTCCTATCAAGATGGCTTAGGACGGCTCTCACAGGAACTGGGACTTAAGGGCAAACCAGAACAAAGCTGTCCCCTGTCTTCCTCCATCCTTGACCATTAGTTTCAAAAAAGCCAAGGGTTTGAGGGAAGAGAAGGGAAGAGGAGCCCTGCGAAACTGCAGGTAAACTACCTCTGCAGAACGCCTAGGGGCCACTCAAGTTGCCTTATTCGGCCCCATCACCCCTGTATTGCTGCACCTAGTGCAATGCCTAGAATGTAGTAGACACTCCAAGTTGCTCTCCAGAATGCGTGTACGAAACAAGCAGCTTTAAACAAACTTTGGGTTTTGTCTTGGGAAAGAAATAATGAACACTTTTTTGTTTGTTTGTTTGTTTTGAAACGGAGTCTCCCTCCGTTGCACAGGCTGGAGTGCAGCGGCGCGATCTCGGCTCGTTTCAACCTGCGCCTCCCAGGTTCAAGTGATTCTCCTGCCTCAGCCTCCAGAGCAGCTCGGACTACAGTCGCGCAACACCATGCCCGGCTAATTTTTGGTATTTTTGGCAGAGACTGGATTTCACAGTGTTAGCCAGGATGGTCTCAATCTCCTGACCTTGGGATCCGCCGGCCTTAGCCTCCCAAAGTGCTGGGATTACAGGCATGAGCCACCGCGCCCGTCAGGAAACTTCTATTCTCTGGGTAGAATGCTTTAAAAAGTATCCATTTTCTCTCCCTCACTGAGAACAGTGATTCAGCAACACAGTTGTGAGGCCTCTTGCTGTGCTTCCCCTTCTAAGCTGCCGAAAGAGAGCCTTTGGGCTGTCGATTAGCTTTCAGACTTGTAGGCAAGAGTGGGATCCCAGATTAGCAGAGCACTTAAGCCCAGTTCTCTACCACCCAAAAGCTCAATTGGTCTTGCTTTTCAGTATCTCCAGTTCCTAAGATGAATCATCAGGATGGAGGGCGGGGGGAGGAGCAAGTACCGAGGAAAGGGGCTTAAAGATACAGCTCCCCAGGCACTTCAGAAAGAGGTTCCTCCAAAGTGACACGGGGGTTCCACATGGGAGCATTCCAAGAAGAGGGACACCGAGGACTGATGTCGCTGCATGTCTTGCTGCACCTGTGAGCCCATGCCATCCCCTTGTAATTTGCAGGTATGTGTTTTATAACTGCTCCCTGGGCAGTTCTAAATGACAAAGCGTTTGTGCTGGCAGCTTCCTCTACTTCTCACCTACTCCTCCAGGCCTTCCGCGAGTACAGTTCACTGCCGGCTTCAGAGTAAGTACATTTTCAAGTATCGCACACTTGGCTGTTTTTCTCAGGAAGGGGTCTCACTGAGCATTAAAATAAAATGATGCTTGGTTTTGTACAGGAAACCTTTTTTCCATCAGTCTCGACAACCCCAGGCATTACCTATTGTAGCTGATGCTTCCGCTCTTACCGTTTCCTGCTAGCTTTCCTGTCTCCAAAGCCCTAAATGGATTCCTTAAGGAATGTCTTCCTAACTTCCCTCAGGCAAGAGGAGAAAGGGCTATCTTCATTATGTCGTTAAGGTGTTTAGCATAAAAAAGCTTTGGATTCCTTTCCCTTATAAAACAGTGAATAAAAGTCTTCCTGCATCAGTTTTACTCATGAGATCAAATTGTGTGGTAACTACTCACCTGTACCACAGAAACCACGCAGAACTGGACTTGCCTAGGGAAGTTAAACTTTCCCATTTCCCCTTGGGGCTGAGTTTCCATTTCCTCTTTTATTAAAAAACTTATAAACTATTTTTTAAATGAAGTAGTTCTTTGGCCAGGTGCAGTGGCTCATGCCTGTAATCCCAGCACTTTGGGAGGCCAAGGCAGGCGGATGGTGAGATCAGGAGTTCGGGATCAGCCTAGCCAACGTGATAAAACCCCGTCTCTACTAAAAACACAAAAATTAGCTGGATGTGGTGGCACATGCCAGTAATTCCAGCTACTTGGGAGGCTGAGACAGGAGAATCACTTGAACCCAGGAGGAGGCGGAGGTCGCAGTGAGCCGAGAGCGCGCCAGTACAGTCCAGTCTGGGCGACAGAGCAAGACTCAGTCTAAAAAAATTAATTAATTAATTAATTTGCTCTCTAAAATTCAAAGAACTTACCCTGAGCTGCATGTTGTGCCTATGCGGTCTCACCCAAGGGAAGGCGAGCACGTTCGTGTTGGCTAGTGAAAATTCAGGCAATACTGTCACCCAGGCCGGAGTGCAATTGCATGATCTCCGCTCACTGCAACTTCCGCCTCCCAGGTTCAAGCAATTCTCCTGCCTCAGCCTCCCGAGTACTGGGACTACAGGCGCATGCCACTACGGCCGGCTAATTTTTTGTATTTTTAGTAGAGATGGGCTTTCACTGTGTTAGCCAGGATAGTCCCCATCTCCTGACCTCTTGACCCGCCTGCCTTGGCCTCCCAAAGTGTTGGGATTACAGGTGTGAGCCACCGCGCCTGGACTGTATGGTTCTTAAAGAACTGGGAAACAGCAAGAATATACACAATATTTGTAAATAACTTGAGCCTTTATAAAACTTTCCTTTTTTGGAAAATACACAGAAAATGTGTGCAGATTTACCTTGAACAGGACAGAATAAAGACTGCAAAGGCTTAACCATCAAGGGTCATTCTTATAGCACCAGCACTGTCTGTGAAAGGCTCAGACCTTACTGTTAGGAAGAGCTTATTTTCATCTCACTTCTCCCACCTGCGTAAGATCACAGCTTTCCGGTGTCTCTTGGTGAGAAGGAAATAAAACTCGATTCCTCTGTCTCATAAAGTAGGCTTAGGGCTCTTAATGGCTCCCTCCTTGCTTGTAGGCAGGGCTGCAGCATCTGCCTTCCTTTCTTCCACACTGCACCCTTCTTCCCTCAAACTTGAACTTTGCATCTTGGTTTACTCCTAGGTGTTCACGATTGTCTTTCCGATTGCTATGCCCAGCACATGAGCATCCAAAGGAAGCCATTGCCCCTCTAGAGTCACTCCGGATTTTGCCAGCAACATTTCCTAGGTCCCTCCTGCCTCTTTGCCATGAGCTCTTGGCAGGTACATCAATTATGACAAATTGTTTTCAGATTAAGAGAGGTCTTATTGGGAGCAAGGGAATTTAAAGTCAAAGCCCGAATTCCGGCCAAATGAGTGTCCTCTGTATGCATGGCTGATGCCTAGGTTCTCTGTAAATACATCGATACCAGGGAGCTCACCTGTCCTCTTCCTTCCTTCCTGTTAATGGGGACTATAGGATTTTTAGTAAAGGAAAAAAAAAGATAACTTTATTTCTTTCCAAACTACCTGCGCTTGGACACATCCATGATGACTACCCTCTCTCAATGATCTCTGAGCTCCAGGAAGAGCTCTCCATGAATGGAAATTCCTGTGACCTCATCCAGATCTGAGATATTCCAGAAGTTGATATATGGAAGACACTGTTTGTCCTCAAAATGCCTCATTTGTTTTCCAATGTTTGTTAACCTGCATCTTATATGACTTCTGAATCCAAGTCATGGTTAGGAATCCAACCCCAAATGGGTCCACAACAAGTAGGGATTCTTCAAACTCCTAAAAACTGTCTGAATTTTTCTATATGTGATTTTTATTTTTCCGAGGCGAGAATCCCCGGTGTTCATGATGTATTCAAAGAGGTCTGCAACACTAAAAAGACTAAAAACAGATGTTTAGTTGGACCACTTTTCTCATTCCGGCATCCCATGAGACTCTGATTGATGATGTCTGTGGCTTTAACTCCAAACCCAAACCTAAAAAATATTTATCTGAGAGTGTCAGAGCAAAATTTCTGGGTAACATCTCTGCCTGCTGAAGAAGGCATGGCATGCCCCTACCTTGATGTGATTAATGATTTCCAGCAATACTTGAGGTTTACTGGGCAGTACCACAAATAATTTCCTACTTTTCACAATACTTACCTTAATAAGAGACCTCCTTAAGAAAGGCAAAAAAGTTATCTGGTCCTTGGACACTATCCTAAGATCTTAGTCAACTTTGTCCCAATCCTGGGCTTCCCCTGGGCCAGCCCTGTCTTCAAGGCTCAGAATCATACTTGCAGGATTCTAGGAAAGCTTCCATCTTAGGGAAGGTTCCTTGGAAAGCTGAGAAGGTTTCCTGTGTTTGGGGAATGATGGAACTCACTAGAGGAGCATTCGATGTGCTGGTGGGGCTGGGACTTGGAGGGCCACAGCCTAACACCCTCAATATGATGGGACTTATCGGTTCAGGGGGCTTCTTACTTCAGTTGCCTCTCTCCCTACGACCCCACTTAATCTTTTAATACTCCCTGCTCTGATCAACATTAGGGGCTATCACCTTTCCACCTTATGCAAATGGCTGATAATGTTTCTTCCCCCCCCACCCCCCGCTCCTTTTGAGATGGAATCTTGCTCTGTTGTCCAGGCTGGAGTGCAATGATGTGACCTTGGCTCACTGCAGTAGGGTTCAAGCAGACCTCCTGCCTCAGCCTCCCAAGTAGCTGGGATTACAGGCATGCCCCACCACTCTCGGCTAATTGTATTTTTAGTAGAGTTGGCATTTGTCTATGTTGGTCAGGCTGGTCTTGAACTCCTAACCTCATGTTGTCTGCCCATCTCAGTCTCCCAAAGTGCTGAGATTACAGGTGTGAGCCACTGCCTCCAGCCTAAGTGCCTGATGATATGACTTTACTCCAGATGTACATTCTAACCTCTGTTCATCATCACTGGGATGTCACTTGGATAGCTTAATCGGCATCTCAAACTATGCTTAACACTTTACTCTTGATCTCCTGTCACAAATATGCCTCTTTTCTTCTGTTCTTCGTTTAGTTACATAAGCATCTCTTCTTCTGGTTGATCATACAAAAAAATCTGGGAGTTACCCTTGAAATTTCTCTCCCTGATCTTCCTTAACCAATGCATCAAGTCCTGTCTATTCTACCTCCAAATTGTATCTCCTACCTGCCTATTTCTCTACATTTCCACCACCTCCACCAGGTTCCCATTGTGCTGGTAAGATGATCGCCTTTCTCACATGACTCCATGCTTGTGCCTCTCTGATCCTTTTTACTTCATGCAGCCAGAGTGAACTTTTATTTTTATTATTTATTTTTGAGACAGAGTCACTCTGTCGCTCAGGCTGGAATGCAATGGCAGGATCTCAGCTCACTGCAACCTCCGCCTCCTGGGTTCAAGTGATTCTCCTGCCTCAGCCTCCCAGGTAGCTGGGATTACAAGCACCAGGTACCGCGCCAGGCTAATTTTTGTATTTTTAGTAAAGATGTGGTTTCACCATCTTGGCCAGGCTGGTCTTGAACTTCTGACCTCATGATCCACCTGCCTCGGCCTCTCAAAGTGCTGAGATTACAGGTGTGAGCCATTGCGCCTGGCCCAGAATGAACTTTTAAAAAAGCAAATCTTGCCACAGCACTTGCCAGCTTAAAACACCAACAATGGCTTCTTCTCGCACGTAGGATGAAGCCTAAACCTCCTACCTGCAGGCGACAGGATCTTCAAAGCGTTCAGTCAGTTCCTGTACAGCAATGGGTCTTCATTCTCTCTCTCTCAACCTGGGAGTAGTGGGAAGACATCACAGGTCACTCTGTTCTGTAAGGAGAGCAGAAAAAGGGCGTCCTTCAGCTTGAGAAAGACCTAAAAATTCTCCTGCACCACAGAGTGGAAGTCACTGATGTTATGACACTTGCTATGTTATGCTAGGATGTCCCTCCCCTCCCCAGCTGTAGCAGCTTAAGGATTGTTGTGTCATCATTTTATATTCACTGAGCATGATCCCCAAATGCAAGTTATTTGAAGCTACTGCTTATTTAAAGAGCTATGTTCACAAATTGAAGGCACTACCAACCTGTCTTTCCCTTCACTAAGATCCACTGAGACCTCAATTCTACTTTTAATCATTAAAGAGGGAAAGGAGGTATTATCAAATTTTCTTGGAAAATATGCAGAATAAATAAAATGATCAGACAATGGGACAGAAATTGGAACAGAGTAATATGCATATAATTTTAACTTTTGGTAACAAAGAAACAAAATATAAGCATTTGGATAAGGTTGATTCTTAGAGCTTCTGTATTTTCAACTCTTTGCTATAAAATTATTAAGCACATACAAAAGTAGAGACTACTGTAATAAACTCTCATGTATTTGTTACTTAGTTCAGTAATTATTAACTTGTGGTTGATATAGGTGCACAAGTACCCTCTCCAATGTTCCATTGTTTCTCTCCCAAACTCAGTTCTTTTCTAGAAAATTCCTGACAGCACATCATTTCATCTGAAAATATTTTACTATGTATTTCTGCAAGTTAGGGGCTTTTATTTATTTATTTATTTATTTTGAAACAGAGTCTTGCTCTGTCGCCCAAGCTAAAGTGCAGACATGATCTCAGCTCACTGCAACCTTTGCCTTCCAGGTTCAAGCCATTCTCCTGCCTCAGCCTCCTGAGTACCTTGGACTACAGGTGCCATCACACTCAGCTGTTTGTCTTTTTAGCAGAGATAGGGTTTCACTATGTTGGTCAGGCTGGTCTTGAACTCCTGACCTCAGGTGATTCACCCATCTCGGCCTCCCAAAGTGCTGGGGGATTACAGGAGGAAGCCACCATGCTTGGCCAAGGGCTCTTTTAAAACATGATCAAAACATAAATATCACACATAAAATTATTAATAATTTTTTAATATAAAATATTCAGTCTATTCAAATTTCTAAGATTATTCAAAAGTGTTTCACAGCACTTGGTTTATTTGAATCAGGATCAATAGATACACATTGCATTTGGTTGATATAACTTCAGTTTCTTTCTTTCTTTCCCCTTCCTTCCCTCCCTCCCTCCCTCCCTCCCTCCCTCCCTCCCTCCCTCCCTCCCTTCCTTCCTTCCTTCCTTCCTTTCTTCTGACAGGGTGTCACTCTGTCACCCAGGCTGGAGTGCAGTGGTGTGATCTTGTCTCACTGCAGCCTAGACCTCCTGGGATCAAGCAATCCTCCTGCCTCAGGCCCCCAAGTAGCTGGAACCACAAGTGCATGCCACCATGCCTGGCTAATTTTTGTATTTTTTTGTAGAGAAAAGGTTTTTCCGTGTTGCCCAGATTGGTCTTGAGCCCCTGGGCTCAAGCAATCCACCCACCTCAGCCTCCCAAAGTGCTGGGATTACAGGAATGAGTCACCACCCCAGGCCCCTCTTGTTTCTTCTAATCTATAGATTTCCCCTCTTTTTCTTTTCAATGTGTTTGTTGAAGATATTAAAGAAACCAGGTCATTTTTCCTATAAATTTTACTAATTGCATCTTCATGGTGTCATTTAACATATTCTGTTTGCTTAAAAGCTGGCAATTGGATCTGGAAGATTTATCAGATTAAATTTCTATTTTTTGGCAGGAATGACTCATAGTTATGTACTTTCATCAGGAGGCACATAATGTCTGATCATCTCCCTTTATGGGATGTTAAGATTGATTGCTGGGTCAAATCTTGTTAGTCTTTCCATCATTTTCAAGTTCCCCATCAGTTTCTCATCTATCAGTTTTAGCAGTCATTGATGATCATTGCCTACATCCATTATTTTACCAGGAGCTCTGAAATGATGTCATTATATTAATCCTTCTTCATTTAGTAGCTGGAGTGCTGCTATGAAGAAAGACTTTTCTTCATGAGCTATATGATAATCCCTAAGCATAGTTCATAAAGGAAAAGCAGAATAGATGCCTGTTTTATGGTTTTTAGAATAGTTAGTTCCCTAATATCTGCTAAATGTGACCGAAGACCAATGGTGGCTCTTTTTTTTTTTTTTTCAGTATCATTCTGAACTCATGAATGATATGATATTAAATGCCTGAAAATTCTTTATAGTTATTATCCTTTTTGAGAACATAACTGCCCCATCTTCAGTGAGTGAGGGTCTCTTCAATTTGGTTTCTAAACCCTTTTGACATGACCCTAGTGATCTTTAAAAGATTTCTCTTATTATCTGGTATGATAAGCTCTAGCTCCTCTTGTCTATTTCCTGAACCAGATCTGAAAGAGTCATTTCTCCAAAGAGACTTTACATGCGAAACGATGTTTTGAGATCTCAGTTTGAGCACTAGGACTGCTCATTGCTCCTTATTTCTTTGCCCATTTCAGTGGACAGGCTATGTAATATATGAACTTTTAAAAGAAAAAGAATACCTTATGAGCATAGTGACATTGCCAACTGAAATAGAAGTCAGAGAAATTTTACTTTTTGATTTTATATTTCTGACTCTTATTATCACTTACACTGAAATTCTTGGTTCTGGCAAAGTTAACATAATTACTTGTTTTACCTTACATATCTTTATTTCAGAAAAATGATACTCAAATCATTCAATATAAATATTAAATACAGTTTAACATTTCTCTGGAGTTTCTTTTTGCCATTAGGATATATCCCACTTGGGACAGTCAGTCAAGTTAATGTATTTTAAATCACCTGGAATACTTTACCCTTGTGTGATTAAGTGGTCTTTCACCCTCTGAAAAGAATTATTTTTGCTTACATTGTTCTGTTTTCAAATAACTACAAAGATTTTCTTAGCATTCTAAGAGTAACATTCTTAGAGGGGTGTAGAGATGTAAGGAAACGCTTGTGTTAATGGTGGAAAAAAGTACACTGAAGTGGAATCGTTGGTCAGATTGCACAGTGGAGATGATGGAGCCTGCTAAGAAGGTGAGACTCCTACACTTGGACTCACTTCAGCTTTCTTGTCAATCTGGCATCAGTAATTATGACTCACTTGCAGGCCACAGCTGTGGGAGAATATCAATGCAATAGCTTTTTCTAATGAAACTCCCTGATGTACACAGAAAAATGGGTGGCCATTTACCACTAGATTCCCTTCTAAATAGTCTATAAACATTCCTGTCTTCTACCAACCCCCAGAGCAAATTTACCCCTTTGTTCAATCTTTAGTTCACCTACAACCTGATAAATGGTTAATGTTACCTTTATTTTATGATGGTGTTTTGTCGTCAGATTTCATTATTTTGCCTTTAGTATAGAGCCATGTTTGCTCTATTCCCTTTGGGAATCATAAACAACATGTTGCTGGCCTTCTGGTTAAAGGGTGAGCATGACATCCAGATGAATTGCCTCTGCAACTATGTTCTTTAAGAGATGGTAACTGGGATTCAGGGTTTTATATAAGAATCACCAGAGTAGCATTTATTTAGCTTTCACTAAAATGTTTTCTCAGGGGACAAACAAGTAGTAAGTCATTTGAATATTAAACATTAGGAATAGGGTGTTTTTAAAATAATGTACAAAGGCAGTGCTCTGCCCATCCTGATTTTTGTGTGAAATCTCTCCTTTCCATCTCTCAGCAATAGAGACTTCCTATGATCATACACGGACCCTGCGGAGGATAGGCACTGTGCAAAGGTAGTCTCCTTGCATTGGACAGACTAATTTACTGCCGTTACTTATGAAGTTGGTAATGTGCTTTGGACGTGCAGGAAGCCAGGTCATCTTTGAGAGCTGCAGCCTGACTCCATTAAGTGATCAAAGACCTTAAAACTCAGGGACTGAGAAGGCACATGTTAGCTCTACTCTGATGTACTGGGTTGTTTGGGGCAAGGCCCTCAGCCTCTCTATCCCCACCTACTATGAAAACATGCTGCCTAAGATGAACCTCCAGGGGCATGGTAAGAAGATGTCCATGGTACATACTCCCAGGGGACACTTTTATGGGCATTCAAGAGAAATACTTATCTTCCTCACTATGCAGAAAGCCTGTTCTCTTGGTTTATGCTAATTTTGTATTTGCAACCTACATTTCTTTTCCTCTCCTCTTTGATTCACGATCTATTTGAAGGTTCCCCTCAAGAATCTATTTCTGACACTCCATTCCTGAGTGCCACTGCCAGTTTGGATTGTCTTTTTCTCCCTTCCCTTACTTTACAACTAAGTGATATAGGCGTGGAGGGATGCATGTCACCCTGCAGAGGAGTTTTGTCCTGCTGTGCCCCAGGCCACGCACCGTTGCAGCGGCTGCAATGAGCATTGCTTGCATGCGAGCCTGTGGGCTCTTTGGAGGCCTCGCTGTGGCTTTCAGTTTTATTTATCAATTCATGTTTGTTGTGGTTTGAACTTGACACTGATGGATCTGTTTAAAAACCTCAGCCTTTCCCAACAGAATATCATATTTATAACTTGTAACCTTCACTTCAATTAGCAAGTTCAGAAAGTTATGCATTAGGTGTAATGACCATGAATGTACCATGAGCCCACGCACGTCCGAGGCCTCCTTGTGAGTTCCTGTGTTTGCTGTGGCCACATTAATTATTTAGTGGTGTGATATCTTACCTCCTATTTCTATGCTAATTTGAGACTTTGGAAAGCAACAATCACATTAGTCCTTTGCTGAATGTTATTTTTGATGAATGATTGATTCTGTGCTCTTTTTTAAAAAAAATTAGCAGTCAGAACAAGATATTGATTAAAGACAATGCCTACCGTTACACCTATGCAAGGACTAGTTTCATAAATTTTGTGTTCCAAGAAGTGTTTTGTCCTGGCAAATAAATTTATATGCCTTCTTTTCTCACAAAGTTTAAAATATTATCTATAAATATTA